ATTTTTCTAGACCTTAAAATATATATAAAATACGTTTATAAGGTATTTTAAAAACTTTAGAACGTTAAACTTTATACCGAACTTAAAAAATATAAATTCTATATTTAAAAAGTTAAATTTTCTAAATATGATATTATATTAAGGTAAATATATATATATTTATTAAAGATAGAAATAATTAGGGACTAGCCTATACCTTAAAACGTTAAGGACGTATAAGCCTTTTTAAGATTTATTAATTTCTATTAACAATTCTTTAAAAACTATATTAATATAATTAAACCCTTTAATAACCTAACTAAAGAAAATAAATTATTTATTTAGAATTTAAACTATAAAAAAGTATTTATTTAAATTAAGGATGTAATTATCTATAAATTAATAACTATAATCCCCGATCTAAAACGACCTTTTAAAATTAAAATTAATACCTCGGATTTTATTATAAAATTAATTTTAAAATTATAAAATAAATAAATAAAAACTTTACCCTTATATATTCTACTTCAAAGTATTTTATAGATTAAAATTAAATTAATAAATTTATAATAAAGAATTAATAACTATAATTAAAGTATTTTAAAAATAACAACTATAGTTATTAAAGACTAAATATAAAATTATAATTTATATAGATTATAAAAACCTTATTAATTTTATAATAAATAAAAATCTAAGTAAATAATAAATTAAATAGATTGAATTCCTCTTAGACTTTAACTTCTAAATTATTTATTGAAAAAAATTAAAAAATACTAAAATAGATACTCTTAATAAAAGATCGGATTATAAGTTTATAATCTTTAAAAAAATATAGGTTATCTTTAGGCGTCGTGGCTCAGTGGTATGAGCCTGGAAGTACCCGAGCATCTCGGCTAATTTTTAACGCGATTCTAAGGGAGGCGGTTTAAATCCGCCCGTAGCCATCGTTTTTCTATACTTACGTAATTAACGATTATATAAGTACGGAAATATATACCCCGTAACCCCTCGGTAAGGGGCGGCTATATATAGCTAATTAAATAACGTTAATCTATTATTATATATATATATATATATATATTATAAATTCTATATTATATACCGGCCCTATAGGCGTACTATATAACCTATTATTAGGCTATATAATATATATATAACCGGATTAATAATATAATTAATTATTATAATTAAATAAATAAATAGGTTAAACCGGTTATTTTAAATAGTATTACTTAGATATAAGTATAAAGTAATTATATAATAAAAAAAGAACTATATATTAGGTTAATTAGAGACCTATAATCCCGGAAATCCACTAATATTATATAAGCGCGCGCGCGATTTAATAAGTAGAAGAGACAGTACGTAGAAGTAATATAAAATGCTATAATACATAGGTTATCTTTAAATACAATAATAAAAACGACCTTATACCTACTATTAAACTCTTTATAATAGCTAAAAAGATTAATATTAATACGACTAGGAAAATAACCCTTCAGTTGATTATAGAAATTTATAATCTTAAGATATATAGCTATTAAGATATTATAAAGATATAAAAATATATTAGATAATATTATAATAAGTTTATAATATAAATAAAAGTTATTAATATAATTAAGGACTATAAAACCTATAGAAAAAATAAAAATAGCCTTTATAAGCCTTATAAAGAGCTATAATTATTACTAATATTAATAAAACTATAGTAATTAATCTCTTAAGACTTTATTATTAAATTCCCTAAATTTAAAGAACTATTTATAAATATATATTACGATAATATTTTAATTGTTATTGACCGATTTATTAAATATACCTATTTTATATTCTAGAAAAAAAATTAATACTGAGGAACTAGTATATATGTTTTTTAAAATAATAATTATAAACTATAAATTATTAAATAAAATCATTTTTAATAAAAATAAACTATTTATTATTAAATTTTAAAGATCCTTAATTTCATAACTCGATATGGTTTATAAACTATTAATATTATTTTATTTATAAACCGATAAATAAATAGAAAAAATCAATTAGACTCTCAAAATATACTTCTATTATTATATAAACTATTACTAAAATAATTAGGTAGAATTTTTATTAATAGCTTAGTTTATATATAATATAATAGTAAGTAAAAGTATAAAAGAATCTCTTTTTTAATTTCATATTAGTTATAAATTAATTATTTATAAAGAACTATATAAAGGATAATTTATTAGAAAGGTTATAATAAATATAAAAAAACTTAAAGAGATCTAAGTTAAGGCTATAAAGAACTTCGAGTTATATAAAAATATATAAAAAAATATATTAATAAATTAAAAATTAAAGGACTAACCTTTAAAAAGGGAGATAATATTTGTTTTTTCTATTAAAATATTAAACTAAAGCGATTAAATAATAAATTAAATTATAAAAAACTTAGATCTTTTAAAATTATTTAAAAAGTTTTGAATATTAATTATAAATTAAAACTCCTTAATATTATAAACTATTATTTAGTATTTTATATTTTATTTTTAAAGCTAGTATGTTAAAGCTTATATATAAACGACTATATTATTATAAAACTAAATTAATTAAAATATAAAATTAAATAGATTATCGATTATAGAGTTAAGAATTAAATATAAGAGTTCTTAATTAAATAGAAAGATTATAGATATAAAGAAAATATATAGGAACTATATATTATTTTTTGAAATATATGATTATTTTTTAATAATTATAGAGGAATAATTAAGCTTTAAAAGGCTTATTTATAATAAAAAGCCCTAGGTCTATAAAACTAGTCCTTAATAACGACTAGTTAGTCTTATTTAAATTACCCTAAATAGATAAATTATTTATAATACGTATTTTTTATATTTCTAAGGACCTCTTTTTAGCCTCCTATTTTTTAACCGATTATATTTTATAATAAATAAAATCCGAACTATATTTCTTTAAAACGCTTTTATTTTTTAAAACGAGATAAACGATTTAAAGTAGTTCTTAATTAAGTCTATAAAATCTTTAAAGCCTCCTCGATTTTTTATTTTTTATATTCTATTTTCTTTTATTTTTTAAAATAACGATTTATTATAAATATAATTAATATTATAATAAAATAGAAAATTAGAAACAACTTACGAGTGTTCGTTACGTTATTGTTATTATAATTCGTTAAATTATAAATAATATATTTACTATAATACTTTAAATTAAATAGATTTATTTTATATATACGGTTATATTAAAAATAAAGAGAATATAGTATTATATTATAACCTTTATATTTAATAAAAATACCGAGAGCTTAACGATTATATTTAATCTTATTATAACCATTTTTATAAAAATTGAATTTTTAAATATAACCTAATATAATATTAAAATATAATAAAAAATAAAACTTAATAGACCTTAACCTAGGTTATAATTATTTATTTATAGGTCTATAGAACTAGACTTTTAAGAGGAGGAATTTATATTATAATTTAATATATATAACTAACCTAAAGGCTAGCTACCGGGCTATAATAACTATAATATATTATATATATATATAAAACTAGGATATAATTAGTCTTTATAAAATAGAAAAATTATAAAATAAATTATATATTAATAAAATAAAGATTATATTAAATTAGAATAATTTAATATAATTTAGGGTCTAAATAATTATCTTAAATTAAAATAATCTAGAACGACTTAAAAAATAAAAGATATATTTAAGGACGAGATTTATATATAATATAGATTTAAATTAAACTTAAAGATAGATTTTTATAGCTTTTTTAGTTATTAATTTTATATTAGATTTTATAATTATTTTTTAGTTATTTTTATTAAGAACTTTTTAATAAGATTATTATTAATTATTAAAGTTTTACTTTATAGTTTATAAAATATAACTCCCCCCGAAGTTATTTAATAACTTTATTTATTATTATTTAGTCTTTATGGCCTAAACTTTTACGAACCTATCTAATTATAATTAGCTAGCCGTAATACTATACCTTTATAATAATATAATATATTTAGTTTTTTTATTATATAATAAAGTATATATATTATTATTCTAATAAAATCCTCTATTATAGGGTTTAAAATATAATATATTAAGTATTATTATTAAATAATATTGCTTAAGTTAGTTTACTTAATTATGTATTATATAATATATGATTTATTTTAATACTCTAGTAAATTTATCTATCCAGGATTTTAATACCTGTATAATATCAAACTACTTTCTATCCCTTCTTAACTTTTCAATTCATTGAGGTCATTCTAGTAATGCCTTAGAGGAGCCTTGCTGTCGGTACTAAATTACGGTATAAGCGCTGAATTGTGACGCGCGCCTGTCGGATCTACCGCCGTTCCTCGCCAGTCGTTCCTCACAACGCGTAAAACACAGACCCGCTAGCTAATAACCATGGTGGAGAAAGCTAGAAATAGGGGCTTCTCCCCAGCCCCTAGCTTTCAAGTGGCTAAGCACTTAAGGTACTCCGTACACATTAGCTACTAGCTCGCAATACCCGTTAGCCAAGTCTTGCGCTTGGTAGGTGATTATCGTTGTTTCATTGGTTGATCCAATGTTGGCCAGTGATTCGTCACTAATCGATGTCTGAGCCTTCCATGGCTTGGACACTCTCGTAAGAGAGCGGGACCGCAAGGGGCGGAGGGGCGATGTGTGGCTCAGTGGTGTTTTTGTCTTACGCCCAGGCTCGCCCAGGCAACGGCATTTCATTTGAGAACTTTTGAATATCACTCACTTTCTCACTCGCAAGCCGTCTCGAACCTGGTTTCAGCGTTTCCTGTTTCCACCCTCATGCACTTCAGGGCGATTCAGCAACTTCACTATGACTGGCTGAGTCTGCTTCTTACCACCCTCGTTTTGTATCCCGTGCTGTTTTCCCGGTGAACTTCACCCGCAGTCGCTCGTTACTTAGGCCTCAACACGCTGCGCTCCGGCGCCTTACTTCGACAGAGTACAGAGAAGGAATAATCGGACAATCATGGCATTTGCATTTTTCTCGGCCTTAGGACTTCTGTCCACATTTCAATTCGTTGGACCCGTTGCTGCAGACTCGCAGAACATCGACCTTTGTGGTCAATCAGACTGGTGGAACTCGACTGAAGTGCCATATTCATGTGTGTAGCCCTCGTACCCACGCGGTTGTTTTCATCCCCAAGATCGACGACTGACAAACGCCGCAGTTAATAATAATGCCTGGGGAAATGACAGCTCGGGCTACCAATGTATGGCCGTCCATGATAATGGTCGGAGTTTCAGTGTCTCCTACAAATGGACCGGGGATGCATCTCTTGTCAAAGGCTACCCCTACATGAAGGCTCATCCTACGAGGCTCCCTGTTCAGCTTTGGAACGTCACTCAGCTACAGGTTACTGGCAATTGGCAGACCTACGTTACCGGCAAGGAAAAGGCTAGTGCTGAGCTGCAGGCTCAAGCCTTCAATGACGTTTCACTCTACGCCAACGTTGCTGTGGACATGTTCCTGTCCGACAACAAGGAGAACTCAACCATGGTCGGCGCCCCCATTGAAATCATGATTTGGCCCTGGTGGACGCCAACTGTAAAGCCGCTAGGATGGGCTGAGTCTACTCCCGACAAAGACACCGTCACCATTGATGGCACACCTTTCTCATTGTACCATGGCTGGAATGATGGGGGACAGCATGTTTTCTCATGGCTGGCTCGCACCAATCTCACCAAGACTGACGCCGACTACGGGCCTTTGCTCACCTACATCTGGAAGAAGGGTATGCTGTCCGGCGCAATATGGCTGGGGCAACTCGAGCTGGGCACCGAAATCAAGCACGCCGCGGGCGACATGCACTTTGAAGCCAGCAACTATACCTTGAAGGTTGTTAGACAAGGAGACCCAGAAGACAAGACGACCCCAACTTCCACAACACGAGCCAGTACTAGCCAGACCGCGACGACGAAGACAATGATGACGACGGCCGCAGCTGAGGCCGCCACCACTTCTGCGCCGTCTCCCACCAGCACCAATGCCGCGCCCGCTTTATTGTTTGCAAATCTGACAACGGCTTGGTGGATCTCACTCGTCACTGTTTTGTTGTACTAATATATTCGGTCGGCAGGAATGTATCAAACGTTCAGGGACGAACTATCATATAGAGAGAGTGTATTATAATTAAGCATATTGTAATCGAATGCCACTTTTTTTTCTACAGGGGAATCAGACTCCGTGCGACGGGCTAGTGCCTAGGCCCCACTCCGGCTTCAACAGCATTCAGCGGCGGATCGAACAACAACAACAACAAGAGCAGAGGGGAACCGTACTTCTGATATCATCTTCAGGAACAGCGTCAGGGCTACCTCTCCAAACCAGGCACTTGTGTTTGCCGAGTTCAAGCATGAGTACGGATACTCTTGTACCTGCCTCTGCATGAGGCCATGCGAACTGAAGCTAGCGAAGAATACTTGACTGGTTGAACGGGCCCTGTGAGCTATACAAATCTGTCGCAATAATTTTGATGCCCTAGTCTTCACCAACAGCCATACAATGTGGTTGTAGATATGGTACAATTCCCATGCTCCTAGTGAAACCAACTGGGTTATGGATGGTAAGTGGCGTACCAGCGATGTTCAAGTATCGATGCTTGGGCCACCTAGAAACATTGCAACGACAACGCCGAAGATACGTCTCTTTCTGGCAACTGAGGGTCAGGCTTAGGACGACACTGCAGGTTCAAAGGAAATTCAGAAACTTTTAGCGTTAACTGCTAAAGTGCCCTAACAAGGCTACCAATTGCTTGCCCAAGCTATAATACACCTTCGCTGGAACCCATATAACACCATCGAATGACATTATGAGCTAGGCTTTTGTGCACGCTCAGCTTCAAGCTCCCTCTCAGCCTGTTGATAGTACTTGGCCGTGTCAACGCCGTGTTGGTTGTGGTTGACAAAGTTGAACCAGGGTATGACGCCCATGAACAAGGCCGAATACCTAGACTGTCGCGCAGCGACGCCTTGCATATGAGGGGTCAGTCTGCTCTCTCCGTAAAGCGGCTCGCCAGCCTTGACCTTGGACACCATTTCCTTCATGTCCAGCTCAACTTCGCGAGCGTTCTCGGTGGCTCCGTAAAACCGCACTGCAAGCCCAATTAGTTAGCATTCTGCGTCTCTTTCGCTTTCTTCATCCCCGAAGGTCACACTAATAGACATCCTTACAGCTAGAGCGCTGGTAAAAGTATAGAAAGCCACCAGCGACACCAATCGCTCCAGCCAAGCGTAAAGCCTGAGCCATGCCTCCCTTGCCGACGTGGGAAGGAGCAAACTTCTCCAGGGTGAGGAGAGCGCCGGGGCCGAAGGCGGCAGCAATAGCACCGTGGAGATAATCCGAAGGTCTAGCATAGCCGACAACTCTTTTGAAGTGGCTGTAGTTGTTCTCTGTTAGCTTCTGATCCTACGAGGCTGCGGCGGGCGGGTCGGGGCATACGGGTCGTTATCGATGAGCTTTGCGAAGAGAGACAGATGTTAGCTGGTGTTTGCCTTCAGAAGACATTCAAGCACGAGAATCTTACCGGGTAATCACTCCTCACGACCTTGGTCGGAGTGTAAGTCTGCGCTTGTGCGGTAGCCATTGTAGAGGACGGCAATGCGTAGCCCGATTGCGTCGATGATGGCCGGTAGCTCTTTGTATTCGACGGTCGATTTGGATGTCGAATTGGATATGAGCGGACGCTGATTGGGGCTAAGCCACCAGAATAGCCTGAGGCAGGATACAGTTCTGGGCACAGACTAGTATAGGTGTGGCTTTGCACGCGAGTGGGTACGTAGAGGAACCACAATGGCGGGCACCTTTGGAGGGCTGAGCTGCGCCGACGCGTCGTTTAATTGAAGGCGCGACTCTTAGTGACATTCCGCGCTTGTCGAAACCCGCAAGAAGACAGCGACTTTGCTTGGGCGATATCCGATCAACTACGACAGGTTGAGTAGGGAAATTTGAGCGATGGCTACCAGAACCGTACCCGAATATGACGATCTCGACGTATACAACGTTGACGACGACTTCGACGACCCTTTCAAGTCCCCACCGCCCGAAGCGAAAGATGGAAGCACGAATAAAAGAAAGCAGGCCGAAGCCTTAGGTCTTGATGAAGAGGTCGAAGTGGCTAAAAGAGCGCGGGTGCCACGAGTAAAGCTGGACGAAGCTCGGTTGGTATCTCGTTCGCTCGACACTATGGGTTATTGATCTTTAACAGGCTACTGTCGGATAACGGGATACCCAAGCTTCGAAAACGCGCCGGCAATCTCAAGTTCAAGGGCAAAGGACACGAGGTAGGCCTGCTCTACCTTCTGCGGTGATTCTAATTCTTTGATTCTTTGCTGACACGATGTCTTGCAGTTCTCCGATGCAGCTCGTCTTCTATCCTTCTATCAGCTTTGGCTCGACGACCTCTTCCCCAAGGCCAAGTTCCTCGATGCTCTGAGCATGGTAGAAAAAGCCGGTCACAAGAGGCAGATTGGACTGAAGCGTATGGAGTGGATTAACGAGGGCAAGCCTAGGCCGTGGGAGGCAGACGGGGACAGAATGGAAGATCCAGTGGAAAAGGTATCAGAGCAGACAGACCAAGCCTTCACAGCACCAGTCTCAGCAACTGTCCCTCTACAGCAAAACATGGGAACACCAGAACGCGGAGACACTATGGGCTTAGAAGACATATATGATTCGACACCCTTGGCTAGGAAGCAGGACAGGGACGTGTCCACGCTACAGCCCGAGGAGCCCGACGATGACGATCTCGACGCGCTCATGGCTGAAGCGGATGTAGCAACTCACCCACAAGCACCAGCTACTCTGGAGCCGAGCGGCAAGTCAGCAGAGGAACAATTCGCAGATGAAGAAGCCGCTATGGCCGAAATGGATGGATTGTGGTGACAGGACAAGGACTGATCTCACAGTAAATACGGCTGTAAGAGGGACGATGGCGCTGGTATGAGTGGGTTGCATGGAAGGCGTTCGGGTCAGGGTTCCAATTTAGATTTACATCAAGCACCGTCTCGGTAGCCAGGGGTAGTCAGTACATGGCTTATACGGAGTAGACTGCTGCCCTCATCTCGTCGTCAGGTCGCCAGCACGATTTTTACACCGTAGCAGGGCCACTATGGACAATGAGAACGGTCTATTACATGCAGCTGCCACATTAAGAAGCGATATGAAGATATTCTGGTGAATGACTTAAAGTTCGTTGGTCGCAAGGCGACTTGTCATTGAATCAATATAATGTTACAATCCACCAAGCACTGTCTATACTGACTGGACACCATGCCTGCGCCTATACACCGTTTTCCCATCCCATTCAAGCCAACCGAAAACGCTTCCCAGTCTCATTTGTATCAGTTACTCCCCGCTTCCTCTTGGAAGCCGAAGTAAACATGTGATTATTAGTTGGTGTTGAGATGCTATCTGCCGGATCGGGCCCTTGAGCTCGTAATTGGAGTGAGTTTTTGCGGTTCATTTTCCGCTCTTCAACTCTCAGAGCCCATAACAAAGTCAAAAGAACCTCCCTAGACGGTAACGGTGCGCCGATTATCCACGTTTGTGGTGTTCGGCTACTGTCGCGCTGCGCCGAAGGTTCAACCGACGATCCCCCGACCCGGTCATCGCATCTCTCAGACACCAACCGCAATGCCTCCATCGTCGCATCCATGAGCGGACGCGCCAGAGTGGGGCTGCAGGTTAGGATTCTCTGAAGAGATTTGAGTCTCAGAGTGGGTGGGTTCGCGGCCGAAATCCGGGTCCGCTGCGATGGATGCGCCGTTGACGTCGTCGTGGAGGAACTCGTTGATGTCGAACGGGTCTTGGAGGAAGGTAGAGTCACCAACCAGATAATCGTGTTCGTAATCGAGGGAGTTGGGGGAAGAGAGAAGCCCGCTTTCAAGGACATAGCGATCTGCGTCAAGGGCCGCTGACAAACTGAAAGAATCACTGATGAGGTGACTAGTAGCGTCTGAAGCTGCAGAAAGAAGACCAAGGTCGGATGCAGAGTGGTTTGAGAGGCCAGCCATGATTGCGGAAGCTCCTCCGACAGTTGACACTGCAGGTCGCACAACATCGCTGCAGGACGTTGTGTCAGGTCGGAGGAAGACTTCGCAATAGAGGTCTCGGCCGTTTGCTGCTCCTCACCACTCTCCTCAGCACCCTCGGCGATGGGCGAGAGTTCTGGAGAGAGCGATGCGGGGTTGACGGTTGCGTTGGGTTGAGATGTGGTCATGAGGTCGTCGACGAGAGACTTAGTCTCGTCTAGCGAAGCACGGTGGCCGTCGTGGGAGCTGAAGAGCTCTTGGGACAAGGTCACTGAGTTCTTGTGTAGGGGATCATTGGGAGACGTTGAACGAGTCAACATGCCAGAGTCACGGCGGAACTTGTTCAGTTCATCCACTAGTAGCTGGTTTGCCTTGGTGACGTTCTGGAGAGCCGACTCAAGCTCTTTGTTGCGTCGCTCCAAGGCCTCAACCTCCAGTCGCTTTCGCTCACGGGATGATTGAGCTGCCCGACGATTGCGAAGAACCCGCTCAACGCGACGTTGTTCCTTCTCGTCTTCTGTTTTGGCGCGTTTCCTACAAACAATGTTGTTAGGTGAGATGAACATGGAAGGCATAAGGTTGACCCGATGGGGTCGTTGCGACATACCTAGGGGGAAGGTTGGTCTTGGGCTCAGGAAGTACCTGGCCCCATGACTTGCGCTTCTTCGTCTGCTTCTTATCCGGGGATGATGATCCTGCATCGTCTGGAGCCGGGGTCGAAGCCGTCGTTGCAGGGAGACCACCATCATCATTGAAGGGCGGCGGTGTCATCATATCCGAGGGATCGAGAGTGTCATCGTTGGCAATATTTGCGTCGCCAAAGAGCGAAGGATATATCTCGCCAGGTGTGGAAACGAAAGACTCGGCAGGCGAGTCCTCGAACTTGATCATTGGTGATGGTTGCTCCCAAGATGCCATTGTGCGTTGAATGTTTATTGCGTCGGGAGGTGAACTCTCGACAGGCCCCTGTTCTTTGGCGTACAAGGCAAAGGAATTTGGGAGGTGTAGCATACAGTTAAGCTACTTGTGTGGAGCGGATTTCCGACGATCCGGGGGGTGATGGAGTGGTAAGGCTTATGGGTAAAGAAGGTGGAGGCAGTTAAGGGGTGCCGTCTTGTTTCCTCTGATGATATAGCCAAAGCCGCGATGCTAAGTAGAATGCATGTTGGGGGCAATGACGACTCGGTGAATGAGTCAGATATGATCAGGTGAGTCACCGAAGCAAGAGGCAGCAGCTTAGGAAGAAGCGTGGTAGCCGGACAGTGCTTGGTTGAGGCGTAGAGAACAGAGTGTCCTTTGCTGTTTTGTGCAGAGGTGCAATGTGTTCACAAGACGCGAGGTTCAAGAGCAGGCGATGTGGCCTCTTTTGTAATTTGGGACCACGTTGGCCCTTTCCCTTCCAGCTTCCCAAGGGGGTGCCAGGAACCCAGGGAAGGCCAGAGTGGTGTTGCCTCAGGTGTCAACTACGAACGGCCCCCGGCTGAAATGGCAGAGACCCTCAACTTCCAAGGGCAAGGTCGAAGCAGGGGTTAGGGGATGGGGGAGATGTGGAGGTCTGGAAGGCAGCAAGGGTTGAGTAAGGCACCTACTTTCTTTGGTATTTGACTCCCTATCCGTACCTCCCCGTTCTGAACTGGTGGCCGACCATACTCCGTAGTCCATACGGATACAAGCACATTGGCACGCTTAGCTAAGGCGTGGAAGGTGGGAACGGTACCTTCGGATTCGCCTGTGTCAGAGGCAACATAAGTGTAACCGTGTGGGTGGAGGCAGGGCCTCCTCCCTCATTGCCACACTCTGGTCAGTGGTGGATTGTATTGTTCGTAGCTACCGAAGAGGCAGCTCAGGGCAGGCCGCAATCCGCAAGCCGCAGGCCCGCAAGGGCCGCAAGGGGAGAGAGAGAGAAGTCTCCAGAACGACAGAAGATAGGGAAATATGATTGGTGGATCTGGCCAAAGACAGTAAGTTTCCTACGGGAGGTGAGGGAGCGTGCACTTGGCCAGCAGTTTCACTGGCTCGGGAGAGCCTCCCACTGGAAGTTCCATACGAATAGGTGGAGCCATGCCGCCATGATAGACGGCGGGGTGGTGGATGGTGGGTGGATTGCGGGACACAACTTCCATGTTGGGGTGGCACGGTGGAAACCTGGCGGTCCATAATAAGGTTCTAGCGATGCCAGCAGCCAGCAGCCAGCGAAAGCGACCGCCACAGGTGGTACTTCGTACATAGTAGTTCGTACGCACCACCCTGAGGAACTTGAGGGAGACTTGTGCGATCCCCCAAACGGAAGTTAGAGAGCAAGGGACGTTCCATTGCATGCTCCTGACTTCTGCCTCCTGGCGGATATTACCCCTATCTCTCCAAGTGGAAGTCAAACACTCGAGGAACCTACCTTAGACCTATTCATGTCTCGTATCAGCTTCCCTACCTCCCGATACCTTAGTGCCCATCGACGGACGATGCCTTGAGCAAAAAGGCATATACCTATCTTCACCTGTGCTTCTTTGAGTGTTTCCTACTCCACTGTTTGCCTGCTCAGCCTCACCATTCATGGCTCTCGTCAGATAGATAGGCATGTCTCGAAGCCGTAGGTTGGTGTCACCTGGAGAAGGGGAGACCTTGCACCATCAGCATTGGTTGATGGTCCGTACCGCTCGTAGACTGAAGAGGAAACGCGGGAGCCACGGAAGGGAAACACGCCTGGCGCGACGTCCTAGGCGGTGCCCGTGGGCCGTGTGCCCGTGTACCCGTGTGCCCGCGTCGACTTTCAGGGGATTTCCTTTTCCCATCCCCATCCACATTTGCCACATGTATGAGGTGAACTATGAATACAACTATCAGAAACTTGACAAGCTGCACGACTGTCTCTGCCACAAGTTGCAACCCCTACCTCACACTCAGAAGTCAAGACGGGAGTCAGAACCAACTTGCTTTCCTTGTCCGGCTAAAGCCTCAACTTGAGTAGCAGTGCGGCGTGCCACTGCCGTGTGCTCCGTACTCCGTAAGGTATTCGCGGATCCCCTTTCCTTTGCCTTTCTTCCATAGTGCCCGCAATCTCGTCCGAGGCAAATGAACGGGGCTCCGACACATTGATCCGACCAGAATAAGCTCAACGGCCGCTGCCCTTGAGCCCCTCATCTGGACTGAGAATTCTGGACGCTTCGTACCGCCTCATTTCTCCTTCGCCATCGGCAGCCCGCAGTCCGTAATCTACAGTCAGTCCACCATTCACAGTCTAGGAGTCATCGCGTACACTACCACACAAAAGGAAGTAAGCAGGCTGTGGCACTGCGGCACAGCTTACGGTGCCGATTTCTTTCTTCGACCATCTCAACCCTAAAGTCAGACTTGGCTGACAGCTGACGGCTGACATGCGACACCTCCTGTAAGCTGAGCTTAGCACCTATGGAAGGGGTAGTTTGGAAGGTTGCTGTGCGTAGGTTTACACTACAGGTACGCACTTGTGTCCGTACCTTACCTCAAGCACACAACGCCCGCACATGGAGCACATACGCGTTCAGTCGTTGCGCCGCCACCGTCGCTGCTAAAGTTAGCCACCCGTTGTTCCCCGGCAGAAGCGGCCATTCAACACGCCAGGTTTCCTCCTCGCCTGCTAACTTGTGGGCTGTGGCACCTTGAGGTCCTGAACTCAACCATTCGGGTCTCGGAGCTTCAGAGGTATTACTCGTTTGGACTCCATAGCAGGATGGGGGCAATGGGGGCCTTGGGGGCTGATTATCAACTCCAAGTCTCCAACCGATGCCCACCATCCCGACGCTTTTATTATTAGACTCGCCTCACTCGAGCAATCGTAATCTTCCTTAGTCACCCCTACTCTACGAGTACGGATACAGAAGCTTCAAGCTGGTTGAGAGGTGTGACACATGGCACTCGCTGGCTTAGCACTCCTGAGGTATGGCAAACGAGGAGAACCAATTGCCGTGGAACTATGACGGACGACCTACTCGGAGCCTCAAAAGGCGACATGATTGCCATCCTCCAGGAACTATTTACCTCAGGTACGGAAAGCAGATCAGGAATCAGATAAGGGTTAGTACTTGGTACGGATACTGGGCTCTGGTCACCCTTGAACCGTTCCGGTTGGTTGGGTCCGGCAATGTGGGTTGCTGCTTGCGAATTGCATCGCCATCTACGGATACACTATGATTTATTACCCTACCACAGCCAAGATTCGCGCCCTGTTGTGCTTTCTTTCTACGCCGCCTCCCAGGGAGAGCTTCTTCGCAGCAAGGGAGTCGGGAGGCATCTCGTGTCGCGCGTCTTGTCTCTTGTTAGTGGAGCTTGTCGGCGTATGGACAGTAGGTATTCATTCTTCTTAACTCACTTCCTGTGGTGTTAGACTGTCGGTACCTCGACGTGCTCGAGTACCTACTACGTACGGTACCATTGAGCCACGAACCACCACAATCCCTGGCTTCCCGAGGCGATCTAGGGGCACAGAATGCCGCAGATCCGTGGCACTGGCCATCTAATGAGACTCAGGGTTCCAGAACGCGACTCGTTTATGAATACCTTACATTATTGCCCCGAAAGTGTAAACGGCCTCAAAGCTTCCAGCCTGTCCGGCCGGTCCGATATCTATCAATGAACTAGCGGATCAAACTCTGGGCAGCTCGCAATTCAACAGAGAGGTACGGAGTAATTACTTGTCGCAATACCAGGCAAATCGCGCACCCTCGCTCTCCGTAGTGGTGTCTTTTTGTCTCAACTTCTCAGACCTCTACTGGTAAGGCCTCACTTACCAGCCGACTTCGGATTCTTGTTAGATGAGGAGTGGACTGGGGAAGCCGATACATCTGGCTTGACAGTGGTTGTATGGTATGCGTAACTTGAATCTTCCAAAGGTCCAAACTTCAAATAAGCTGCGAGGCCCCTACTGAACCCTCAACGGCCGAAGTCGTCGGTCCTTCGCTTGTCCTTGCAAGCTTTTACACGAGCTTGGCAGAGGCCTATTCTGGTGACAGTTGACAAACTTTAGAAGTCGCCGCCTGGCGCCTGTCCACTGCCGTGCTTGTAAAGGATGAATCGGCCCATAATCTTGACTCTGAATGGTTTAGCTTCAACGCAACCTTGTCATCGCTGTTGATGGCTTCAGAAGTTTAGACGGCATGTTCGTCTGTCAAACCCTAGTGACTAGATTCTTCCCTGGCACACCTGGTTGATATGTGAACTTCCGCAGGGCTTTCCTCCGTCGCCGCCGCCACAGCCCTACCTTCAATTGAGAAGGGGCATTTCAAGTCTCTTAGTAGCAGTGCTCACAACCTTGACCTGTCCAGCCTGCAACTATAACTGCACTTGACAAGCTGATGACAGTATGTATACCAATCTGCTTCAAGGCTTCTTCTGACCCCCATTTGTAACCTCATGCCTTTGTGGGGTAAGTTTTCTGAATTGCACAGTAACGGGACAATAGATCAGAGACTTTTGTTCATTAAAGCTCGACATCGCACAGCCATGTCGATCCAGGCTGGATTGGGCGGCAGACAACGGGACGCACGAATGCTGCTGACCTCCGATTTCGCCAGAAAGGTTGAGCAATGAGTTTCAATCTTGACATCTCCAACCATGACTACATAAGACGGTACGGATGGATATGGACATCCGGTCGGTAAGGCTATGGTCAGCAGGGAATATTGTCGGTACACTTCTAATAAGAGCACCCGGTGTCTCCATCCAGCGCAAACCACTTTGTCTTAGTCCTGACATTTGAACATCATACCACAGGGTCCCAATTGCCATGAGCCCCCTTCACGATGCCATCGATCTCTGAAGTCACCCATCCCCCGTAAAAGTCACCCGGCTGTGGCTGGACTGCCTCATCGTCGACGAAGCAATTCCACGGGTCGGCATAGAATGACAGGTACCCTTTGATCGCCTCGAACCCCGGTGTTGGAGATTCATAAGACCAGATTCGGTTGGAAACCACCTCAGGTGTTCTTCCGGACGATGGTGCAGGAGCCGTGATTGTATAGTATGTAGCCGCACCTTTCCATTCGCAGTAGGTGCTTCGACGCGTCGGGGTCAGCGGCACCTTCAAAGCCGCCAGTGGTAGGTAGTACGCTGTTGCTCATGTCAGTCGGACCACTGCTACACATTTCGTCACCGATCCAGGCCAAAGTTGTGACGAACTCGGGGGGTGATGCGTTTCCAGAACCCAATAGGCATCTCGAGTTTCTGCAATCACTTGTCCGTTCCATACAATTTGTAAGTGACGCGATATCTTCTCTAACAAAGGCGGCCGTGGAAATGTTTGCACATTCATCCTTGCTCGTGCAGCCATTCTATTTCACGACACAAGTGTTCAACGTGGAGGAGCAGAATAATGAAAATATTCAAGGAGGTCTGCGTTGTTCCTGTAGGGTTCCTTTAAGAAGTAGTAATGCTCTGATAATACAGGTCACTTAGAATTATCACAACTCCAGAGGCGGGGCATTCCGACTTCCTGTGAGTCGTGACATCTTAGACTTCGGCACATCAAAGGCCCGGTGACGAACCTAATACCATACGAACTGTGTCCGTCCGTACTGATGTCCGTTTCTGACGGCGACGTATGACCTGGCCTGTGTAAATGGGATACTTGACATGGAGGCGCATGTGGCGGAGATAATGTGGCTAGTAAGGCGGTGCACAACAGGTTCTCATTGCGTCATCGGCCAGCCAGCCGGTCCCACCTGGGACGATTGTCGGGCCCCGACTATGGGCTGGCCAAGGCTATGTATCCCCGACAGGTGACGCCTGGCGGTCCGGCTCTATTGCTTGATGTCTGGCTATCCTCCAAACCACAGACATTTGTTAATAACTTTGCGCAACATCACCCAAACCTCACTACGTACCTTTGGACATACGCTCCCCAACTCCGAAAACCCCGAAAGCATTGAAACATTGCTTGCCATACGCTATAACGACTGCCCGCCGACTGAAGATAACCCCTCACTAGAGACCCCGCCACTCAGTATATCTCCGTCTCCCGATACGATAGGCATCAGTCACCATGTCGAACCGCGCACTTGCCCGCGATATGCAGGTCGAATTCCAGGCACGGGTATGTTGAGATACTCGTCCAATTTTCATACTAGATTACCTACGAATACCTGGGACACTTGCGGATCTTTTATACCAGGAAACTAACCGGCACTCAGTTCCAAGCGAAGCAAGCCCGGAGAGAAGCTCAAAAGGCCGCAAAACAAGATCCTATACTAAAGAAGCAGATTCAAGACGTAGGTTATCGAACGAGAAACTCATTTCAACATGCTGACACTGAACCGCACAGCTTCTCAAGAAGGGCGAGACGGCCAAGGCCTACCAAAAGGCCAAAATGCTCCTGTCTAAACAGGCACTGGCTCAACAGATGGACCAGATGGCTGATATGGCCGAGCTTTCTGCCGCGCAGATTCAAGCCAACAATTCAATGAATCGCATGACGCACATGATGGGTCAATCATCTCGTACTATGTCTGTGGCACAGAAGAACATGAACCCCGAGAAGGTACGCCACCGAGCCGTGACCTCTGAATCCGTTGTCGCGGCCTATCTTTCTAACTGCCTAATTTTCAGACTCTCGTTACACTCGAGCAATTCAAGCAGCAAAACGAAGAGTATGCCGTGTCAAACGGCATCTATCAGGATGCCATTTCGCAGACTACTAGTGCGCAGGTATCGGATGACGCTGTACATGAGCTGTTGGGAAAACTGGCCGATGACGCTGGAGTGCAGCTAAATGCTGAACTCAACAGCGCGGCGCCAGCTAAGGAAGAGCCAGTGTCTGCTGAGCCTACTGCAGAGGAGGAGGATGCGTTGCAGCAGCGACTGCGTGCGCTGAGGGCTTGAATTTGGGGTGAAACAACGTTGATTTGAGCATGCTGGGATGGCTTCACTCGTTTGGGAATTTGGGAACTAGGCGTTATGATGGGCGTGGGCACGCGCGTAACATATTTCGTATTGAGAAGAGCCAGGGTCTTCTATCGAACCTTTGGCGTATAGTTGCACATCAAGGCGAAATCGAGGCGGTTGAAGAGACAACTGCCACGTTTAATTCCTAAACTCAACTATACCAGCTTTCCTGAACCTCGAGCATACAAGCAACCTTGTGCTTTTCGCGTCTAAGACAGGGTTTACATGTAAAGACTAGCAACTGCCGTGATATCGCGCTTGATCATCTCTTGCGCTGTCTGCATCTTCTGGTACAGTTCCGGGTCTCCAATGATGCGAGCGGCGTTCTTCACCTCACGGCATGTTTCGTCCAGACGTGTGATGGTCCGCACAATAGTTCCTTCCAGGACATCGGTCAGATCAGTGATGTTCTTGAAGCTCATGCCTCGCGCCCATTCGTAGACGACTTCCATCAGACCAAACCGGGGACGAGAGATAAAGTCATTCGAATCATCCGCAGACTGAATGACTTGGTGGAGTGTCTGGACTTCGTTAACCTTCTCGCTGATAGCAATGATGGTATCCTTGCCCCGCTCAAGGTTGCCCGTTAGGTTGGGTTGAGTGTCTGTCTTTTCCTGGAAGACAAACGCTGAAAGTAAGGCAGCGATTTCGGCTGGCTCGTAGTCGGCGAGCACATTGTCCAAAATCAACTCTGTCAAAACGAGTTCATCGCCCGAGTGAATCTCGCAGGCCACTTTACCCTTGAGCAGTATCCTGGCGCTATCGTCAATGAATTGGAGCTGTTTAAGCACCTGAATACGCTGCTCGTAGTCCGGCAGAAGCTGGAGGTTCTGATCCGAGAGAGATTGCCGGAGCTGGGAGATGTGCTCCTTGATGAGCCACTGATCATGGCACATGGCAAACTGTAACTAGTGTCAGCGATTGCTCTTTCTGCCGGGTCAGCCATGCTACAACTTACATGCTTCAAAAACTGAGGACACGAGATGGCAGGCGAGCACGAGGCAACGGTTTCTGCATCCTTTCTCTTCTTCATCATCTCCTGAAAAGAGAGATTCTTGATTTTGGATAGATCCATCTCGTCCCAGAGATCATCCCACGATCGACACAGCGCATGAAGCCTGTCCTTTGCTTTTGCATACTTCTCCCCTCCTTGGAAGATCTCTGGCACAATGCCCTTGGTGACATATCTCGTCAAACATTCAACATCACTCAGGGGAACCTGCAGAGTCTTGATCCGCACGTGCTTCTTGGCCTGCGGTAGCGGTGTAAAGTACTTGCGGAAGGCCGGGATGAAAGGCAAAAGGTCTGTGGAATCACGAGTCTCCCTCGTGAGTCTGATCTCACAGACATGCAGAGTAGGACCGCTTTGCCCCTTGTCACTCGCGCCATCGGACAGCAAGATGCCTGGTGTGCGAATACCATCCCTGTTGTATACGATCAAGCGGGCCTGACTGAACATCTTGCGGCCAATGGTTATACCAATCAGAGACTTGTAAACTTCCCCGGTGAGTTGCTTGTAGTCCTCCGACGCTTGATGACACTCGTCCATAGACACGTCGCAGACGCTGCACGAGTCTCGCTTGATCTTAGCCAAGTCAGCCTCTGAAATTTTGACTGCCTTCTCATGCTCAGGGAGCAGCTGCTGGGTGGCATGTTCCGAGAAGCTACGCTTGATCATCTCTTCAATCTTGAGAGCTTCAACCCGGAGTAAATTGAGGATCATATTGTAGGTGAGACGGAACTGGGATCTGAGCTTCGACGGCTCTCCTAGAATCATCTTTTGAAGGTCAGCAACAGGGGGAGCTTCGTCTCCCCCTGGAGGAACGATAATGACCGAGCCGACTGTATCCAAGCCACGACGACCTGCTCGGCCGGCCATCTGTGTATACTCGCCAGGAAGCAGGTTTCTGAAGGAGTGGCCGTCGTGTTTACGGTACCCAGAGAAAACGACTGTCCTGGTTGGCAGATTGAGACCCATGGCGAATGTCTCCGTGGCAAAGAGCACCTTGACAAGAGTTTGAGCGAAGAGAATCTCGACAATCTCCTTGACGATTGGCAATAAGCCTCCGTGATGAACCGCAATACCTCTGGACAAAAGCTCCCGCAGTCTGATAATCTGTGGCAGAGCCCGATCCTCGGGCTTGAGTCTGGCAATGGACTTCTCGATAGTCATGTGGATAGCACTCTTCTCAGTCGCCGTGCAGAAGTCCTGGTTACTGAGTGCATCGGCATTCTCCTCGCATCGCTTCTTCGAGAAGACGAATATGCACGACGGAAGGAGGCTCGACTTCTTTAGAAACTGAACCAGATGAACCCAAAGGTTCTTGTCTTGGGCTGCAGAGGTAAAACCACCCTGGCGGCCGGTTCTTCCCATGTGACCTGGATTGTGACTGGCGCGCGGCGCTCCACCACGGCCTCTTTGCTGAGGACCGCCGCCACGCTGCCCCCCTCGCTGTCCACCGCGCTGGGCTCCTCCTCCTCCTCTCTGGCCTCCTCTCTGGCCACCGCCGCCGCGAGGGGCGTTGACTGGCTCGGATGCCCTGGTCTTGTCTTTGCCCTGGATTGCCGAATTGGCTTCCTTCCAGCCCTTCTCGATGAATTTCTTGTCCGAGTCAACGATTTTATGAATGTTCTTGCCAGCCCACAGGTAGTGCTCCAATGGAATAGGCCGCTTTGGGGTTGAGATGACATAGATGTCCTTTTGCTTAGTGCGTCCAACCCAGGAGGCAAATTCGTAGGTATTAGGCACCGTTGCTGAGAGGAGAATGAGGGTTACATGTTCGGGGAGCATGATGATGACCTCTTCCCAGACGACGCCGCGCTCAAAATCATTGACGTAGTGTACCTCGTCAAAAATGACGAATTCGACGTCTCGGATAAGGTCGGCTCCACGGTAGAGCATACTTCTTAGAATCTCCGTCGTCATGATCAGGCAACTGGCCTCAGGGTTGATTTGCACATCACCCGTCAGGATACCAACCTCGTCGAAAGTTTGACGGAAATCTCGGAATTTCTGGTTACTCAAGGCTTTGATCGGGGAGGTGTAAATCGCCTTTGTCATGTGCTTTGTTGCGAGGGCGATGGCGTATTCGGCAACGACGGTTTTACCGGCTGATGTGTGCGCAGCGACAAAGACAGAATCGCCACTCTCGAGGTGATAAATGGCCTCCTTCTGGAAAGTATCGAGCTCGAAGGGCCAGTCTCTTGCCATATCGGGCACCAACTCTCTGAAGTTGGTGATGTCCCTGTCGATATCAACCATGTGGGCCCACTCTCGGCCGGCCTTCCTGGCACTCGACGCAGCTAAGGTACCGTGGGGTTCGAGAGCTGGAAACTCGACAGGCAAAATGGCGTCAATATCCTCGCTGTCTTCTTCATCTTCGGACTCGACCTCATCCACCTTGTCGTCATTCGTCTGTGCCTCGCCGTCTGCCTCGTCAACACCTGGTGGTTGTTCCGGCTCCTGGTCCAGCTCTTGCTCAATCGCCCTGGCTTCGTCCTCATCAGCCTTCTTTTGGCCGATATTGAGACTGCGACTCAGTCCAGGCGCAACCTCGAGTAGGCCGCCCTCGACACCGAGTTTGATGACCCGCTCGAGCTTGTTATTTGACAGAGCTGCAGCCTCTCCACCTCCAGACCGGTGAACCTGGTCCTCGAGTGCTGCGGTTGCCTCGATCCCATCCAGGCCTCCGGGTGCGAAGGGAAAGAATCCGGCAGCTCCACGGACAAAATCAGCTCTATTGGCGGGCTTGCGAAGGAATGAGGTCGAATTCTTGGCGGTAGCGCTGTTGGCGGGAACGGTGACGTTTCGGTAGCCACTCACTCTGCCCTCAAGGCCATGCCTTTCGAACCGTGTCACAGTCCTGGTTTGAGGATTGCCTATTTTGAGGAGCTCCGTATAATCCACAGGGCAATCCCAGCGCCTAGGAGGAATCAGCTAATGGACATGGAATGCAGAATTTGTTCGTGTTTGAAGGGCCATACTGCTGCAGGCCATTGAGCCATTCGGGTGAGAATTTCATGCATGGCATGAGAAAATCAGTCTCTAGACTCGTCTTCAGCTCCGTAACATCTTGCTTGACGCGCTTGCTTGGCCGTTGCTGGAATAAGATGTCGTCAATGTTGGAGTCGGGAAGGTCCTCAAGATGGAGACCTTGAATGGCCGTGGCCAGGTCGGAAGCCATCTCGAAGACAATGGGCGGCAGGAGAGGTATAACACCGTCGAAAGTAGGAGGTGAGACGAGGTGAGATGAGACGAGACGATGAGTTTGGCCTTGAGCCTACCTTACCTTGTCATTGACTAAGGTAAAGTACCGGTATAGGGAGGAAGGATGGAGTTGACGTGGGATGAAGTGAGGTACCCAGCTAAATGTACCTTAGGGCGGGACTGCAGTGATCACTGATGACGGCGTGCGGGGTGGCAGCGCTGTAGTCCAGGTAGCGCTGTACCTGTACGAGTCCATTTTTGTGCCCCTCCTACCTCAGATTGCCTTACCTTACCTAAGGTAAGGTATTAGATCCGTTAGATCGGACAGCCAAGGCACTTGAGGTAGGTAGGCACAAATTGACGATACCTTAGGTATTTAGGGTACCTTGCCTCATTTGAAGTAAGTTGTTTGCCTAATACACCTTGTCCGTTTCCCACTCTGCTCTACCTCAGTCCTCACTCGAGATGGCCAGCCTCTATGGACGGCTTTCGTCCCAGATCGCGCATGAAGGAACTCTCTCACGAAGCGATTTTGACTTATATGGTTTGTTATGATCAGTCTCCTGGATCTCAGTAACACATTCACCTCATCGCCAAATAGCTTCAGGCTACAAAGAGCGCATGCACGTGAATGATATCCTCATTTCTCCAAATCCTGAGCTCTGAATCTATCTTGATGAGGGATGGTTTGCTAAAAACACTCCAGTATACGTTGGCCACCTCGGCCGTGACAACAATGCACTCCATAATGGCCAAGTGCTCACTGCTTTGTGCCATAGCGCATGGATCATCGCATACAGTTGTAACCCCAGGGTATGAGATGTATATATGACAACTAAGCAACATACAAGTACAAGCTTCTTCCCCAAGTCTATCGAGCTCCACGGGCCATTATAGATCAGCTTCCATCCCGGAAGCCTCAAAGAGGCAGCTTACCCACGCCTGTATTCTCTCGTTCACGACACGCAACTCTCTTACAGGCGCAGCATCTTGGCGACGTAGTTCTCAATGATCTGCTCAGTAGGGAAAGCCATCTCCTCGAGACCAGCCGCGTAAGGGGTAGGGACGTCAGCACCAGTGACTCTCTGGGCAGGCGCATCAAGGTAGTCAAAGGCGTACTCCATCGTCACGGCCAGGATTTCTGAGCCGACACCATAGGCGGGGAATCCGGACTCAACGGAAAGGAGGCGGTGGGTCTTCTTAACAGACTGAACAATGGTCTCGACGTCCAAGGGCTTGACGGAGCGCAGGTTGATAACCTCAACATCGACGCCATAGTTCTTCTTCAAGTTCTCAGCGGCAACGAGAGCCTGGCCGACGCAGCGGGAGAGCGTGACAATGGTCAAATCCTTGCCGGAGCGCTCGATCTTGGCCTTGCCGAAGGGAAGAACAAAGTCATCCTTCTGAGCAGCCTCCGACATGGGGAAGGTCTGGCCGTACATGAGCTCGTTCTCGAGAACGACAACGGGGTTGGGATCGCGGATAGCAGCCTTGAGCAGACCCTTGGCATCCTCGGCACTCCAGGGGGAGACGACCTTCAGACCAGGGATGCTGCCGTACCAGGCCGAGTAGTCCTGGGAGTGCTGCGCAGCGACACCAGAAGCGAAGCCATTGGGACCGCGGAAGGTGATGTTGCAGGGCTGAATTCCACCGGACATGTAGAGTGTCTTGGCGGCGGAGTTGACAATCTGGTCGATGGCTTGCATGGCGAAGTTGAAGGTCATGAACTCGCACTAGAGGAAACACAAGAGTTAGTCACGGACAACCAAAATCTAAAATGTGCCACCGAATTCGGCCAGCCAGTAGCTGTTCAAATGATTGAACAGCCAACTGCCAAGTGCGTAGGCGTTATCGACGTGCTGGAGGAGGCAAACTTACCACAGGGTGCAGTCCGCTAAGGGCAGCGCCAACGGCGAGACCGCAGAAACCGCTCTCGGTGATGGGTGTATCGATGACACGCTTGTCGCCGAACCGGTCCAGAAGACCCTTTGTGACCTTGTATGCGCCGTTGTACTGAGCGACCTCCTCGCCCAACACGAAGACCTTGTCATTGGCCTCAAGCTCCTCGGCGAGGGCCTCGTTGAGGGCCTCACGGACAGTGTAGTCCTTGGTTCCCTTTGCGTCGGCATACGTCCGTGACTGGATGGCGAAAGCAGCGGGCCGGCTAATGAATTGGGAGATGGGGGAGGTGCGGAGGGAGGCAGCTCTGGCTGAAGACGCCAGGCGGGCTGCGGGACGGAGGAATCGGGACATCGCGAATTTGGTCTTGGGAGGGTTGGATGATAAAAAAGACGCCCAGGTCGCAACGCGAAAGAAGCTGGATAGCCCAAGAGGATCTGGAGAATGAGGAGACAAGAAGAAAAATGTCGTGGATGGACAATGCGTGACCTCAGGGTGGGGTTGACGATGGCCAACGACGAGAATTGAGCGTCGAGGTGAGAGGGATGAGGAAATCGACGGGGAGCTGTCGAGGGATTTCGCAGCTTTTTTTTTTTGCTCAGCTCTATGGGCGTTGAGTCCGTTGAATTGCGGCGAGCTGCCAGACAACAGCGTTGGGGAGGTCCCGGGCGTGGAGCTAGCCCTATTCGGCATTAGCGGTATTCATGGGCATTAGGTAATCAGCAGCACCTGTCCTGAACCAATCACGCTGTATTTCAACGATTAGTCCCCATCCAAATTGCGCTCAAACCCAGGTCCGATTTAATCCCGATAAGCTCCGCTGGCTTGTTCTCCCTTCCATTTGCTGCGTTGATAACTTAATACGGATACTCTCTGTATCACTCCTGGCTAGCCCAGCTAACGAGAATGTTTGCATCGGCCTTTCCTAGTGCTCCTTTGTCGGCGTCGGGCTTAAGCTCCCCCTCGAGGAGTGACCGGACACAGATCTCCACAAGATTTCTACTCAGCAAACGCGTTCTGGGCACCGTGCACCCGGTGCCACCCGCTTCCATCCGAACGGCAAGCCACTTAGGTCCGAGCCAGGACCAACGAAAGGGAACTCGATGAGGTGGTCTGGGCAAAGGGAATGCATGTTCCACAGAAACTCTTTGAGCAATACCCTGAATTGAGATGGCGATCATGTGCATGGCTGGCACTATCATCCTCAAATCCAATAGCTGTCAGGAATGAAATAGTTCGAGTAGTGCGCTTCACGATGCGGCCTGCCATGCTGGGCTTTTGGCCATTCATCAAGATTGCTAGCAATCTGCATACTGACCTTGCGAGACAGACTACATAAGTTCCTTATCCATAACCCCAGCCGGTACAGAAAATCTACAGACGCGTCTGATAGAGGTTACAGTCAGCGGCAATATTCGACCCGCCTCTATAGAAAATGTGCTGGGGAGCGATTGGAGTTACACGGGCAAAGGATAGTCCGTTAAATGTGTGTATATCCGAGAGTCTCATGTTAGAGCCGCATTCCACCATGTGCCATTGTGTAGTAGCCAGTGACTTATGCCAGTTGATCGGCGAGCGTATTTTTCTCTACAAGAACTCTCTCCCACTTTTCCCAAGCTAACTAACTTCCTTTCCATCATGGCCCACCATGAACTGTCGTAAAGCCGTCCGGCTGTAGTTGCCTAATTACAATTATAGTACTGGTATAACACTCATACAGCGAGTAGAAAAAAGTCATGGCCTCTTTATCTTTTTCCGTTGGTGTCCATCTATGCCATCATCTCTGCATCCAAGGCGTATAAACGCGACCTCTAGTTGGCGGGCTTCTTTCCGACCATCAGGTACATAGGCGTGAACAGGTGCTCTTTGCCACCAGCAACAAGGCAGTCACCAGCCCATGCCAAACTGTCGGCCGTTTTCTTGGTACCGGCTGGGGCAATCTTGAGAGCCTCGAGTCCACCGACCACGTTGTGCATGAGGAATCGTCCGACCTTAGTCATGCGAACAATGGTGAAGATGTCAAAGACGGACTGGATATACTTGAGCTCGCCTGACAGGGGCCAGTACCACGGCATGGGGTCGGGCCTGTCGGCAAGATCTTCGTGGTGGAGCATCTCAAAACCAGCAGTTTTCATGGCAGCCAGACCCTCAGAGACCTTGCACATGTTGGAAATACCATCTCCCTGCTCGATGCCCAAGCGGATCTCACGGTGGGCCAGGTTGTCGTTGTCGTACTCGTCCGTCATCAACCACTCGTAGACACCAAAGACGCCACCGGGCTTCAAAACACGGAAGATCTCGCTGTAGATACCCTCCAGACTGGGCGCGTGGACGGTAGCCTCAATAGCGTAAACGGCGTCGAAGGAGTTATCGGGGAAAGACATTTGCTGCGAGAATAACGTTAATCATGTGAACACAGATCTGAGCACTACATCAGCCACGTACCATGAAGTCGCCCTTGACGAAGTCGAGCTGCTTCGACAGGCCCTCCTTCGCAGCGTAGTGAGTAGCTCTGTCGATTTGGTAGTCGTTGTTGTTCAGCCCCGTGACGTGGCAACCGGTGAACTTTGCGATTTCACGAGCAGGGCCGCCAACGCCACAACCGACATCAAGCACCTTCATACCCTCCTTGATGCCGACCTGGTGGGCGAGATAGTGCTCATGGCGGGCAATCGCCTGGTAAAACGGCTCGCCGTGTGAGAAGCGGCAGAAGTGGAAGGATTGGCCCCAGCCATACTCGTACAAGTCGGTCGCCAGGTTGTAGTAGCTAAAAAACCATGATTAGCTTGTGTCCCGACAGAAAGGGGGGGATGCGTCGCGTACTGTCTGGTCAAGGTCGCATATTCAGCTGTACGAGCCTATGTCAAGCAAATGTCAGCGTCTGCAACGAGTTGAATTATGTTCATGGCATAACAAAGGTCGGGTTGCGTACTGCGCGCTCCTCGGGAGTTTCGTCCTTTGCGGCCTTGTTGTCCCAGTGCTTGAAGTACTCGTCGACGGCAGCCTGCTTCGCATCACGACCCTTGCTGAACATGGCGGCAAGACCACCGGTGGCCTGAGCACTGCTACCGTGCAGGGCCTTGTTGAATTGAGCATCACGAGCGTGATCCTCACGCTCGAGGTTGGAGGCTGTTGAGGTAACCATGTTTTCAAGTATTGAATGAACACGATAGAGAGAGAGGCGTTGGTAGGAAGAGGAGGGTGGTGTAGAGCTGGAAGGTTGTAAAGTATCTGGTCTGATGAGTGAAAGAGAGAGGGAAGGAGGAGAAAGGTGAAATTGAAAGCAGGACAACAAGATCGGTAAGGTAGGACGGATAATTGAACTGGCAATCGGGAGAGCGGGGGTGTAGGCTTTTTCAATTGCGACAAAGTATCAAGCGGGAAAAGGAGTCGAAGGGACGCGGCAGCGGTCGAGATTGTCTCGTTTTGGCTGTGTCAAATTTCCAACATCCCCCTCCTAGTCCCTCTCAGGCTCTCCATCCACTGTTCCTAAGCGGTCTATCAACTAATGATAGGTCGCAGCACGGTGGCACCAAGCAAAGTCTGGTGCAATAAAATGAGATAAAAACTGCGAGGCCAGACTGTTGTCCAATGTCCATTTAGCGGCGCAGGGATCTCAAGGACTTCAGATTGACATAGACCCGGTCCCAGGGTCCCATCTTTGGCAATTGTCCAATCGCGGGGCGCAAAAGGCTGTTAGAACCTGCTTTGTTGAGCAGGCGGTGAGACGACGGCTGGGCGGGAAACATGTGCATACCGGCCAGGGGCAGCCCAATCCGAATACGAATTCGAACAGCTAGTACTTAACACACTGCCGGTACGGAGCACCTTACGGATAAGTTACAATAGCTTAATTTTTACCCAGCACGATCTGATAGACTGACAGTCTGACACACGTCTGAGCCTCCGAGACGTCTTCCAGATTATTCCCTGATGTGGTTGGACTTGGGCACCCGCCACCTGCCTGGATTTTGTGGATTCTCACGGATATCTATCGCCATCAAGCCGCTTCAATAGTCGCTCTACTTGATGATGCATTTCACGGTTGTTTCCATACTGACTTCCTCGCTTGATACCTCCCTCTAGGTTTCCAGGATTCAAGACAAGATCCTCGAAGCGATTTCCGAGGCTTTGGAGCCGATCGCCTCATATTATATCAGACTTGGAAGAAACTCGGCCAGGAACAACCTCTCTCTTCACAGTACTTAATAAATGCACATTACACAGTATTCGTGACAAGGAACCTTGACATTCCAGGTTCCCCATGATGAGCAAGGTTGGTGGGGAACATTCCATATGATACTCCGTATGGTGGCTGGCGAAACTTCCGAGTGTGGCGCATATCACGTGGTGAAATCTGCACTGATAGCTTGACGCCACAATGCTCGATACGTACTCTGTACAGTAAGGCAATATGGTGGGTAGTGAGTGAACCCTGCGCGCGACTGGGCCCGCGTTCAAGATCGCTTCCTAGTTTCCTACGTAGTTTGCGGGTGACACCACGATCCTTCGCTCGCGACGCTGAAAAATCTCACGATCTGAATCGACAACCACCAAAGTACCATCCGTACTCTAGCAACTTGCACCGCTTTGCGGCTTTCGAGGCGCCATGCCACCCCAGATCAAACAAGACCTGAACCGCTCAGGCTGGGAATCGACCGATTTCCCTTCTGTTTGCGAAAACTGTCTGCCGGAGAATCCTTATGTCAAAATGTTGAAGGAAGATTATGGCTCCGAGTGCAAATTGGTACTACCATCTTCCCACTCCACTCTGCTCAATATTCAGTTTTGTGCTAACATTGTCCGTTGCAGTGTACGAGGCCGTTCACCGTCTTCAGCTGGAGTGCTGACCGAGCCCACGGCCGAAAGAAGCGAACGAATATTTGCTTGACCTGCGCGCGCCTCAAGAACTGCTGCCAGGCATGCATGCTGGATCTTTCCTTTGGGCTACCCATCGTAGTACGCGATGCAGCGCTGAAGATGGTAGCCCCTGGGCCATCGTCCGACATCAACCGGGAGTATTTTGCGCAGAACAACGAGCTCGCCATAGAAGAAGGTCGCGCGGGGGTTGAAGAATACGAGAAGACGGACGAAAAGGCCAGAGAACTCCTGCGAAGATTGGCTGCGAGTAAACCTTACTTTCGAAAGGGCCGCACCGTCGAGAGTGCCGATGACGAGGTTCAAGCAGGCTCCAGCTCGAGCGGTGGACCAGGTGGCAATCCAGCCGTCGGTGCCGGTGTCGGTGGACCAGGCCCGATTCGAACCAGGGACTCGAGAGCTGCCGCAGCTCTGGGCGCGAGGCCGGGCAGGGCGAAGCAGGCTTTTCCAAGCGCTGCACAATTGCCTCCTGGACCACAGGATTGGATGCCCCCGGCCGACAAGAACATCATGTCCCTTTTCATCACCGGGATCGAGGACGACCTCCCCGAGCACAAGATCCGAGATTTCTTCAAAGCGCACGGCAGACTCAAGAGTCTCGTTTGCTCCCACATGTCACACTGCGCATTCGTCAACTACGAAACGAGAGAGGCGGCTGAGAAGGCTGCCGCGTCATGTCAAGGTCGTGCTGTTATTGCAGGATGCCCGTTGCGTGTACGCTGGGGTGTTCCAAAAGCAATCGGTACGATGGACAAAGAGCAGCGTTCACAAATGCTCATGGACGCTCGACGAGGGCAGGCGAACGCGCGCAGAGCGGATGGCAGGGGTGGAAGAGGGCAGGTCGCAGGTCGCCAGGACACAGGAAACGCCGCCCACTCGCCAGCTGCACCATTGGTTGCACCCCCACCAGGCGCAGACGATGGCGCGCAATATGCTAGTCTGCAGGGCGACTGAGATGTGAGGAATATGGACAATCGGTTAGCATTTTGAGGGAGTCTGGGCGTCACTGATTTCGTCAGGATTTGACGACTGGAAATCGGGATAGAGTGGAAGGCTTCATACCAACTCCAGCTGCCTGGGTATCATGTTTTTTGTTATACAGAATTACAGCACAATTACAGGCATCTCTCCTATGCCATGCTCGCCTCGAAGCCCTTCCTTCAACTACAGCCACACCCGCCCATCGTTGCCGAGACGCCGCCCGCCGTTTTAATAGAGTCATTGTCCCCACGTTCGGTGTCCTCGTGAATGCGCAACTCTGCAGAACCATCCGTCAGCATCATAGCCAGAACAATTTACAGCTGTAGGAACTTACTGAAGACGCGAGAATCATCCTGCTTCCCCTGGACCACATTTTCTCTCAGGATCTTGGCAACATCTTCCGCTTTCTGGATGGCGGAGCTGAATGCAGGGTCTGTCGACTTGAGTGTTGCTTGATCTCTAAAACCTTGCCGTATCTGCTGCTGTGCTGCTGTGAGGACTCGGTCGTCGCCTACGAAAAAGACAACGTCAACAATAGGAACTTGAGAGTATGCGACATAGATACAAACCCTTGAAGGCGATTCGCGCCGCGCGCCAGAGTTGTCGGTAAGCAGGCACAGACATAGTAAAAGAAGTGAAGTTGTCAAGTCGCTTACGAGACAGAGAAAATAACGAATTGAGTAGTGAATCTCCTTACGAGCGCATGTGTTTCGGGGAGAAGAAGATGTGATATTCCAAAGACGGGCAGGGTGCCGTCAAGGTCATCGGCTCAGGCATTCGACACAAAAACGTTCCCGGCATCCGGAGAATCTTAGGTACACACCCCTCCAGCCTTAGCGCCACCCACACCTTCTCCAAAGAAAACTCTACCCCACGTTCCTGTAATTTTTTTTTATTAATTTTACGACGTCCTTGCTCTTCAAGACACACAAGCCTCGATCGCGATAAACCAAGTTATTCGCATCCACCGGAATGGCTTCTGCAACCGTTGTCCCCCACGTCCTCCCGGTCGTCCCCGAGGGATGGTCCGCGGAGAAGGACTTCAAGACCGTCGGCAAGGTCTCTGCTGCTACTCAGCGAAGCCTGGAGCCTGTCGGCCCTCACTTCCTTGCCCACGCTCGCCGGGCCCGTCACAAGCGCACCTTCTCCGAGGATGATCGCATCCAGGCTCAAGAGGCTACCAAGAATGTCGAGAATGAGGATGACGGCGAGATCAGCGAGGCTGAGGACCCCATGATGCTTCAGCGCGATGCTAAGGACTGGAAGGTAAGTGACTGCCCCTCGTGTACAAGCCATTGCGCCCGTAGCAATTGACGACTGACTCCCGACTTCCACAGAACCAAGACCACTACCAGGTTCTGGGTCTCACAAAGTATCGCTGGAGGGCCACCGAGGACCAAATCAAGCGCGCCCACCGCAAGAAGGTTCTCAAGCACCACCCAGACAAGAAGGCTGCCGCTGGTATTGTCGACGACGACAGCTTCTTCAAGTGCATCCAGAAGGCCACAGAGGTTCTCCTGGACCCCACCAAGCGTCAGCAGTACGATTCAGTCGATGAGAAGGCCGAAGTCGACCCTCCCACCAAGAAGCAGCTGGCCAAGGGTGGCAGCACATTCTACAAGCTTTGGAGCAACTGTTTCAAGGCCGAAGGCCGTTTCTCCAAGACCCAGCCGGTACCGACCTTCGGTGACGACAAGTCCTCCAAGGAGCACGTAGAGGACTTCTACAACTTCTGGTACAACTTTGACAGCTGGAGAACTTTCGAGTATCTGGATGAAGATGTGCCAGACGACAACGAAAACCGTGATCAGAAGCGCCACACGGAACGCAAGAATGCCAACGCCCGCAAGAAGAAGAAGGCCGAGGACAATGCTCGTCTTCGCAAGATGCTTGACGACTGCTCGGCCGGCGACGAGCGCATCAAGCGCTTCAGACAAGAGGCCAACGCTGCCAAGAACAAGAAGAAGTTCGAGAAGGAGGCCGCTGAGAAGAAGGCTCTCGAGGAGGCTCAGGCTAAGAAGGAGGCCGAGGAGAAGGCTGCCAAGGAAGCGGAAGAGAAGGCCAAGGTCGACCGAGAGCAATCGAAGAAGACCAAGGAGGCGGCCAAGAACGCTGTCAAGAAGAACAAGCGTGTTCTCAAGGGCTCGGTCAAGGATGCTAACTACTTCACGTCTGGCGAACCTTCCGCCGCTACCATTGATTCTGTTCTCGGTGACGTCGAGCTCGTCCAGGGCAAGATCGACGCTGACGAGATTGCGGCCCTGGCCGGCAAGCTCAACGGCCTCAAGGTGGCTGACGAGATCAAGGGAGTCTGGAGCGAGGAGGTCAAGAGATTGGTCGGCGCTGGCAAGCTCAAGGATGGCGATGCCAAGTCTCTGACTCAGTAAAGGAGGATCATATTTCAATGAACTCCGACACACCAAGCTTGGTATGGCGCGGCGGGCTAGCAGCGTAAAACATGATTAGACGCAACAGAATAGAGAATGAATGTCGGCTTTCAATAGATGACCCCACGGCTTCGTCATCTGAAACGTCTTCCGCCAGTTACATCTCGTGAGTCGGAGTGGCTCGATATGTTTACCCACAGCCTTCAGATCATGTGGCTTTCTACTTAGGGGGTTGCTTTTCACGGTCGAGGCCGTCTGTTGGCCAGTCGACAAGAAAGTTTAGCCCTTCAGAGGAAGCTGCCACAAGGTTGTTCGACAGCTTGGTCTCGATGAAAACACGGTACTTGCTCCCTACCTCACCGTCGTCTTCGAGAATATACCAAGGCTGATGCCTCGTTGTCGGTGTTTCCACCCATCCTAATTCAGACATCATAGGATGGGGTTCCGGGGGTTCGGAGATGCCGTGACCCTACAGTAACAAAGACGGAGCAAACAGGCAACCTTTGTGCCAGTCCATCCCATTCATTGGATCATAGCCCATCCCATCTCGTTGGATCCCGAAGGCCGTGTCTGGTGTCGGTTATTTGACGCTATCCTAGGTCAGATCACAAGGCTGAAGATGAAGATCTTGTTTCTTGCCAAGTACCGAGTAAGTTAGGAAGCACTTCACTGATTCCCCAGACCAGGTTTGCGGAGCCACCGACCGGAGGGAGGCTTCTTCTCATATTGGGAAGGCAGGTACCTATACTCCGTTCTCTATCTCTTTCCTTGTGATTGTCTTCCTTGGTACCTTATTGAACCAACTATTCCCAGCTGCGTATTCGTCTTCCGAGGGGCATATATCATCTCGTAGTGAAAGTCACACGGGACAAACTTCTTCTTTACCACGCCACGCCCTGCCCCGTCACCGAGCAAATAAGCCCGCGCCACTCATTTTCTCGAGAAGTTTCCCTTGCCGCCGCGTCGGCAACAGCAAAATTACATGGACTAGCAATCCCTTGAGATTCCATTGTCACTACGATACCTACTCATCTTCAGATCTCGCCAAACACGCCTTCCTTGGCAATCACACCTGTCGTCGCCCCTCGCATCCCGCCTTCCCTCTTCCGCAGTCACGTCCCACCTCGACCACCCAAACCCGCGGGCACAGAAATTCAAGCCACCATGTCGACGATTTCTAGCAGCCATCCGGGTGGCGCCAACTGGGTCGAGCAGAGCAAGAACCCGCTACCGCAAGTGGTCGTCTACTCTGCCCCTGAAGCCGTGAGCATTCCGATGAATAACCTTGGGACCGGCATTGGCAGCGACGGCACCAAGGACGGCACCAAGGTTCACGCAGGCGAAGATGACGCCTCGGAGAATGACGCTGAGCAAGGCAGCCCTCCAGAGCCTCCTCCTGGAGAAACGTCGCGTCTTTGGAACTGGAAGACAATGATCGGCATCTGCATAGGTCTTCTCATCCTCGCCATCGTGGTTCCTCTCACAGTCACACTGTCCACCAGGAATCACACCTCTGATCCAGATAACACCGAGAACCTTGCTACTTCTTCTGCCTCATCGCCATCGTCTTCCCCCACAACTACCTCTCTGACCTCTCTCCCAGCTCCATCCTCGACTCTAACGCCGGTAAGCAGCATGCCCTACTCACTACTTGCAGCATCACGTATGATGGGCTGGGTTTGCTTCAGCATCTAATTAATTATCACAGGCCCTTGATTGCGTCGAGTCTAAGTTCATCCGAGAAGTCAACTGGCTCGGTATCGACAAGGGTGGCGGCGGTTGGCTGTACAACTTGTACCCAGCCAAAAGCGCCCAGGACTGCTGCACAATCTGCCACCTTGAAACTTCTGACGGATGCAATGGATGGATGTACATACCGGAGAACTCATCGACGCCATCATGTTCCATCATCCACGGCTTCGACGGCCCGAGCGATAGTGACTCCTGCCCGAAGGGCCGTCCAGATGTCGTCTTCACAAAGGCTGGCAATAAGGAGAGCTATGGTGGACCAGGTCCTTGTGCAGGCTCAGTGCGAGGATGAGAATCTTCGGATAGATAAGTCGGACAAGACTTAAGTACAATCACTACATCTATCGTACGAATGGGTATGTGGTGGACAAGGTTTATGAGCACCAGGGTACATATTAATGCAGGGATTACAAGGGCGTCCGGATGTGTTGGCGTCTGCTAGTTGCAAGATACCCCTATAGGGGCAATGATTGAGACTTTTCACACTCGTCATTCTTTGCAACAAACACCTGTGCTGCATCCCACTTATTCCATTTGCTGTGCTCTGTAAGACGGGTAGTCGTTAAAAAGCCCTTGACACCTAAGAAGGGTTGCCCCTCGTGAGCGGCATGTACAGTCAACTCCCCTGAAACAGGGACGACAGTGGCAAGACAAGGTCAGTTATACATGTTTGAACAGAACCAAAGAAATAGCGTTGTGGCACAGGAGCAAAATTGAGGTTTTGGCCGAATAGCAACTATCTTATGCTATGGAATCATCCGCCTTTTTTACATACTAACAACGTACGCTGAGAATTTGCACTTGACCAGTTTTCTGCTGTGCCTAGGAGGGATGATAGACGGTATATCTTGCACGAGATCAATTTCCGAAAGGAGTGATAGAGGTAACAGGGCTGTGTCAGCGTGAGCTATGGACCACTCACATGAATCCTCTTAAACTACCCATGTAAGTGGGTGGCTCAATAATTTACCATGAGAGGTTGCCATTGGCATTCGTGGTACGTGAGCAATAAAATACGATGCCGGCCAACGCACGACCAGCCACCTTCTCGTAACCATTGCTATAAATATAACTCCCAAAGTCCGCCATCTAAAGCAAAGTACACGAGGAATACATAGGAAAGAATGAAGGAATTCTAGTAATAGTAGAAGTAGAAGTGACAGTAATGATAAGAATAGTAGTACTCGGAACAGTAGCAATAGATACGGTGGTGATAGAAGTACAGCCACTTATCAGATATCGAAGCTCAATAAACTACTCATTGTTCTCCGCCATCTAGCTCAAATATAAGGGATAGAGCCGCGTAGCCCAGCGTTTCCGAGCCCTCGGTATTTAACACGGATACGGTCACGAAGCTTCGCGATTTTGCCGTGCGGCGTTCGAGGCTCCGAACGAAACGTCATCGAAGAAGGTCATAGTTGCAGTACGCGAGGACTACGTCGTTGGAAAATACCGACTTATATGGAGTACATTTAGGCCGCCACGACAAGATAATAGTAGAACATAGGAAGCAAGAGATTGGCGGTCAGTGATACAAGAGTGATTGCGATACGACTTGACGATCCTCGGAACAACGCTCAGGGCTCATAATGTGACGTCCGTTTCAGTGACGCTGACTTCGGAAAACGTCTCGAAGGTCGCTTACTTGACAGCCAGCCGGCGAAGTTTTCAGAGAATGCTCAGATAGAAGCACAGCCGTTGGGTGCTCAGTCATGTTTCCGTGGGGCTTTGACGCCGCTCTTCGTCTTGCAGTTGCCGCCCACGCCGTCATACGTAACCACACAGCCCTCTATGCGGTTCGAAGCGATCAAAACGCAGGCCTGTGCCTCAACCGAACGGCTCGTCCCATCACTTCAAGTATTTCATGCAAGCTAGGCAGTGGAAGATCCTCTAGCATCAACGCCAGAACGGCTCACCCATGACGACTAATGTGATTGGGCGCAGATTGCCAAACCCAGAAGATCCTTAGGGTGCTGATTCACAACACTACTGGGCTGTGTCGGCGGAAAACAATGGAGCAAAGCGTATAAAAGTTGGGATCTGGTCATCGCAGCGTACTCTCGGTCGTGATTTAGGTTTGGAAACAAGCTCCTTCGCTCCTGTGCTCCTGCTCGGCGGAGCGTCGAAAACCTAGTTGACCATATTTCGCGGTCATCTTCTCCTGATATCCAATCAATTTGATGTGATGAACAAGGCAATGCCGAAAGCTCCATCGCCGATGACAGCGATGATGGAAACAGAACATACGTCAGAGGATAGGATCAGAAGGACGAGAAGAGAAACAATCACCAAAGACTCCTGCCTTGATACTTGTCCGAATCGCGTATATAAGTGCTCGCAACGACCGCCTTCTAAATGAAATGGTATTCTTATCACTCAGATATCGCAGCTACAACAGAAGAAATCCCTTCGACAAACTCGTATACACCAAACTCAGATTTCACCATACTTAACAATCTCTCAGCAAACCCAACATAATTCAAAATGAAGACTTCATTTATCGCCATTCTCGCTGCTGCCGCCGGCATGGCCATTGCCGACAGTCTTGACGTGCCCGATTGTGCGAAGCAGTGCGTCAATGATGATATCCAGAAGAGCGGTTGCGCTCAAGATCAGATCAAGGACTGCTACTGCCAAAAGGCCAACGTCAACTCACTCGTCAACTGTGTCAGTGGTGCCTGCAAAGATCAGAACGACCTAGTCAAGGCTGCCCAGGCTGCTCAGAAGGCATGCCCACAGCTCACAGGTGGCTTCATTCCCGGCACCAATAACGGAGGTGGAAACAATAACGGTGGCAACAATGGAGGAAAGAACTAGGCTTCGTGAGGCTGGGCTTGTTGATACAAACCGCTCTGCTCTCTTCTTCAAAGCTTGGAGTTTGCTTCTCAACCCATTATGGTGCTGCATAGGAGGAATGTGCATCGCATAAGAGAGATAACGGGGTAGCTGAACATGCGCGAAGGGAAACTTTTTTCGGTGCTGAATTTATTGAGAAGTTGAGGTAACGGTTTTTGTAAGCAAACAGGTGTGTGCTAGTCTTGGGTAGTCGTTATGGTACAATAATTCTTCTCCTTAATTTGTGGCGACCTAGCACCGTAGTCGTTGAGATGTTAAGTGTTTGTGGCCAATTGGTAAGCTTGATACTCCATCATGTTCGGCTGATTGTTGTCTTCGTGGCTGACGACATATCTCTATCTGTAAATACCGGCACTGCGAGTTGCCGCATTGCTGTTGGCTGGGTATCATTCATGGTATATTATCTACTTGCCTCTGATCACAAGAGTGGAATTCTGCTGTATATATCATCATAAACCTTCCCAATCCAGCCGTCTGTTGAACCACCCCTTGCTACTATTCCCAATCCCCCCGCAGCCCAGACGCCGGCCGCTGCCACAGCGGCGCCGTGAAGTGCCCACCACGCTCTTCTCTTCCGCCGTCGCACCTTTTTGTCTATCACACTGCGTCCTCTACCACTCCAACCCATAGCCGTTGGCGCCAGGCCCAGCCATTTTGCTGCGCCCCAAACCATATGTCCGCAGCCTATTGTGAGAAGACCGGTGTACGCAATCCACGAGATGATGGGATGCCGGGCAAACCCATGAGAAACGAAACCCAAGCCAATGTTCGAGCTGTCGCCGTCAACTTGCAGGGGGAGGATGCGATTAATGCCTGCATGGGCAGCAAGAAGAACTGTGAAGAAGTAGCCAGATATAGATATGTAGCTGACGGACGGCCATATCCTGCTAGCGGAGTTGACGCTGTTATAGGTCAAGGCTCGTGATGGTTTGCCGGTCTGGGCTCGATACAAAGCATACATGCCGGGTGTGTTGCCTCCATAACGCTTCAGGTTCTGAGATCTGCGAACGAGGCGAAGGGCGAAGCCAGAGGCGATGTGTGCGACGATGGGTAATGCCACGAGAAGCGGTTCCGTGAGGGGTGTTTGGTATATTTCTCTCGAAAGTAGCAGGTATGCCTCGGAAGCTGGGACTGATCGCGCAAAGAGTGGTATTATGGAGGTGTTGACAACGTGAAGTGAGGTGAAGACCGGTACCAGGTAGGAAGAGAACTTCTGGATTCGTGTCACTGTAAAGTTTGTACTCATTAGCCAATATAACTTCAGTGCCATTGGTGGTGACGGGTCTTGTCTATGCATTCGCATTTGACAGCTTACGGTAAAAGATCGCGCTGTGACCACTGCCGCTTAAACCGGGTGCAGAAGAAGTCGACCTGAGGGAACCAGTGCTATTCTCTAGGGCATCTTCGGGCAGGGGAGGAAGATCTTTATCAACGTCGGCCGGTGGTGTCTCGATGGGGGACGGATCTAGTTGAAGGAGCGATATGAGAGTCTCTTCCGACGGCTTGGATTGAAGAGATCTGGACTCCATGGCTACGCAAGCGCCGGCACGACTGAGACCGGCCCTTTGAACGTAGAAGAAGCGCGAATTCGAACCCGGGCTGTATTGAACTGAGATTCGGAAGGTGAAGTTAGAATTGTCGGGTAAAGATTGCGATTTGTTTCGTAGCCTCCAGGTGTAAAACTGGGCAGCTGATCAATCCTCGGGACGTCATAGGTTGAAGTTACAAGGGACCAGTTTCCGCGTCTGGGCTTGCAGGTTTAGTGGACCTGGCGGCAGTCCGGGGAGCCGCAATACCTTCGCGCGACCTGCTTTGACAAGGTACTTTGCCTTCTCTGTCCTTACCTTACGCTCACTGACTTGTGTATAACCCGTAATATTGCTTCATTTGGGAAACAGCACAAGAATTTCCTTTGATTCCTCTTGTATTTTCCGAAACTAAGACGTAATTGGTGTTCTTGTGGTGTATGTACACTATCGCACAGCAGGATGTAAGATACGTTGTACCCGTGATGTTCAGGGCCTGCTGCGGCTCCCCGCATAGCGTTGTGGGTCCATGTTGCTGGGAACGGAACATGCGCGCTCGACAATAACCAGCCAGCACTCTTAAATGTGATGTTACCTTTAACCCATACCCACCTGTCCTCGTAGAATCTCGACGCCACCAATCGGCAGCTCTTCACGATTATAAACCTGCAAACATGCCTCCGGTGAGAGAAATGACAATGTTCCTACCTGTTGATCAAACTCCTGATCCATGCTACTTTCCTAGCGACACCAAACACTACCCCCGGCGCAGACCGCCGCAGCCCGCGAAGCTCTGCAATCTTTCTATTGCAGTCTCTGCTCGAAGGGATACTCTCGCATGAATGACTACGAGGCGCATCTCAGCAGCTACGATCATAGCCACAAACAGCGACTCAAAGATATGAAGGCTATGGTTCGCGATCCGAACGCCGGCACCCGAGCCCGAAAAGCCGAAGCCAAGGCGGATGGCCTCGTTAGCATCAAGCTCGCCAACAACGAACAGCCACAGCAGTCTGCCGGAGGCGGAGGTTTTAAGAAGGGCGGTTTCAAGAAGTCGGGCTTCAAATCGGCATTCGCCCCCGTCGACGCCCTGAATGCGTCAGACGCACCGAGGTCAAAAGCTGGCCAAGCCCTGGAAGCAGACAGACTTGCGAACGCACGCGAACGGGATGCCGTTATTGAGAGCGACACTGACGACGAGAGCTACGAACATTACGACCCGCGATACCCCACCGAATGAAAGCTCAAGCTGGACGCAAATCACATAATATACGCAGTAGAGCAAACTAGAGCTTGGCTTGCCCTGAGGCTTTTCGACGATATTTCCATTCTATATGGGCTCGCAACACTATGTGGCGAAACCCGAAACCATCCGTTACCCCTCGTATGGTTGGCCGTTGCCTAGCCTCGCACCGCAAAACACTCTTGAATAACAAGATCGTGTCAGCGAGGTCACAATCGGCAATCTGGACTCATTCCGGTGGAAATGCGGCGGCCCGCTATCGGCCGTTCCTTCTCGGCCAGCTCAGTTGAACTGGGATAGGTCTTCTTCAAGCAAACCCATCATGTACTGGCTACCCGAGAACCAATTGCCTAGTTGAGCAGTTTGGAGAGTAGGATGCGACATGTCGCTGGTGTCCATACCCTAAGCAGGATACTCCGTGGGCGGGAATCCTAGCGCACTCAGATAGACATCAAATTCGTCGTTGATGGGGCCACGCTCATTTGATTGCTGCGACTTGCTCTCCACGTACAAAGTCGCCACGTTACAGAGCATTGAACAGAGCTGGTGAAGCTTCTCCACCGGCTCCGACATGGCGCACGCGGGTCGAAGGGAAGCAACGAACTCATTCAGCTTCTTGAAGTCGTCAGCACTGGAAGTGTCGATGACGTGACAGAAAAGGACGAAGAAGGGCGTGAAAGGAGTGAGAAGAATTGCCCTTAGAACGAGTCAGCATGGATCGTGGTCAGAGTACTGCTTCAACTGACCAGTGAATATAGACTGCTTTAAGGTGCCGCCCTTCCTCGGCAATTCTTTGCATGCATTCAAGGTGCAGCTGCATAGCAAATCGTGCCGTGTCTATACATTCCTGAGAAAATCGTGTTGGTGAACCTTCGGGCGCTGGTAATGCCCTGTAAATAAGCGTTAAAGTAGACTGAAACGTCAGTTCGTCGCCTCGCAGATGTATGTCCAAAATTGATGACGCGTTGAGGGCTTTGAGGCCGAAAAGAGCCTGTTCCCGTACATGCGACGCAGCGGCCATGATCGTCTTTTGTTCGTCTTCCAGGCGACGCACGGTTTCGATGCGCTCTTCCTGCGACTGGCCCAGAGCAAGAGGACTGTATCTACCGCGGACGTTAGCTTGATGGTTTGCATCACTGGAATGGCGGAGTCGAACAATTGTTCATAAACGCGATGCTGGATCTCAGCCTGCTTGATCCATGTTGTTATAACGAGACCCCATGGATCCGCAACCATGGTGTTGTCGACTCGCCGCGGCAAGGTAACGTCCCAGTCCTGTATGACCGATGCCCTCCCTGTTCTCAAAGACAACGTCTTATCGAGCATGTACACATGCCAAAACAAAAGCGTCTTGATGTCCCTGGGCCCGGCGCTCTCACTCCTGACTTGCGATACGCGGTGGTAGCCAAGCGTCTGACACAAGCTTGCAGCAGTCGATGTGAAAAGCCACGCGAGGGATGCTTTCGAAACATCCACAGCATAAACGGCCTGCAGTCACTGTCAGCTGTATAATCCACAAACAGGCACACAAAGATTTCTCACGAACCGCCAGGAGCAAGGCTTCTATGCTCTCGATTTTTGCAGGGAGCATTAAAGGCAAGGAAGCTAGTGCCATTTCGAGGTTATTTTGACACATGTGTTGATACCTCTCGAACTCTTCCCGCGCAGTCGCATCGGAAGCCAGATACGCTTGTTCCATGAACAAGTAGAAGAGCGCACCATTCACTATGATGAAGGTGGTATCAGCGAAGTTGTCCGTGCAGAAGTACACTCTCCGGCAGAGCTCAGCCAGATCGTCAACATCGAGAAAAGAGCATGCAAGTGAGAAGATGCTGGGAGGAGAAACTACAGTCATGTCAGCTTCTTGAAGTCTGCGGATCAAAAATGAAAGAACCTTTCATATGCTTAAGCAAGGCAACGACAGCGTTCATGGGCGGCATGGGCAATTCGGGCAAGCCACCCGGAGGAAGCGGCTGTTGCGTACGGAACCGAAACTCTCGGTTGGAAGAAGCCTTGCTCTGCATAGCGACGATCTGCCGGAGAGAAGAGAGCGCCGCTTGCATGTTCGGCGCCACGACCTGGAGCGAAGTCCTCTGCACGGCGTCTTCGATAAAGTCGCTGGCGAACATGGTGTGGGCAGTCAACGAGAGGTCGCCCTCGAAAGCTGAATCCGAGTCTGCGCCGTCGTGGGATAGGATAGAAGCGTCCCCGATAGTCGAGGCCGAGGGGGTCGTATGTCTGGCCCTATTGGCATCCCATGAATGACCACCTACGCCAGGAGGATTGTTGCTTAGGCTCCGCAGGAGTTCCTCGATATTCGAAAGTCGTTCCTCGATTAGATCAATCTTTTTCTCACTAGCAACAAGAATGTCAACATTGGAGTTCTGCTGCCCAGGATTTCATGAGTTGAGTAGTATCAGAAACAGTTCTGGTGAACGCAAGACGATGAACTCAGCCGGCAGTGGTTTTATGAAATGAGGTGTGTTACTCAGAAAAGGGACAAACAAAGGCAAGGTGAACGGCGTACTATTGAAGGGAGATGAGCACGCGATGTCTCTGCTCTTTTGGCTTTTGACCAACGCCGTTTGAGCTGCAGGAGCGTTGAGTTATACGGCAGTTGGAACATGGCGAACTCTTATCACAACGGATCTGTAGCGCAAAGCCAAAGCGTGCGTCCTCTGTCAGCAAACCCGAAATCTCAATTTAATGCGTTGGCTATACCTCCTTGGCGCGAGGTAGGAGGGGGAAGGAGGGGCAACGGCGGGCAGGAAGAATGCCCAGCTCGGCGCACTCGATCGAGGACTGGTGAAGAAAGCGTCACGAGTGGGATTTGGGGGCACCAACTTTACGGGTGCGACATTGATCACACTAGACGATAAAAGAATTAGAGTCAGTACTTGTTTTTAGCGGACGAGTTTTTACTGGTGAGAAGGGGGTCTGATGGATCTTGTGAAGCAAAACAATCTGAATATGGATGTATGTGACATACAGCTCGACGGAGGCCCTGGTCATCGGGGCCCGCGGACCGGGAATCAGAATCCATGTTCATAAAGAACAATGCAGACCCGACACTGTAGCGTGCCTAAGCCGTGCTTTGCGGCGGTATGTGCCAGTGTGTGCCAAGGTCTGCTCTGAACTATTGGTTCGGAAGGCGACAGGCCAAGGCAGGGCCCGTAGGTAAGGCGCTGCAGGGCAGTGATTGAATGGTCTCGGAAGTCGAGAACTCGGGCGGGCAGAGGAGACGACGGAGTGCTTGTTGCGTCGGAGATGGAGTTGGCTTTGTGATACTTCCCCCAGGCCGAGAGCGAGCGAGTTGCAGTACGGGTGGTTTGGCAAGCAAGAGATAATTAGTTGAGAGGAATGTGGAGTGAATGGAACCGACAGTACGGTAAGGGTGTAGGTCTGGGTCGTGGACACTCGGAAAACGCGGATCCTCCTTGAGGGTCCGTGACGAAGGGCTTACAAAGAGCGAGCGAGTGAGTGAAGGATGAAGAGAAGAGCGTAAGGGATAGTGGGAGGGTGTGTTTGTGTGTGGGAGGAGACGGAGAGTAAACTATGAATCGAAATGCGGCAACGGCAGCGGCAATGCAAGTATTGGAACCGATCAATGAGCTTACTTCGTCGATCCTTGGCTTATTCAACGTAGCTATGGCAGTGTAGCTCGATTACGATGAATCTGGAACGGTTGAGCTTTGGTAGAAGATAGACTTGACGGCTTAGGCTGGCGGCCCGGGGTTGAGATTTGGATGAATGTGAGGTTGAGGTTTGAAGTCTCCTAGTGTAAAGTGAGCATCAATGCTCTGTACGGCAAGATAGTTGAGAAAGGGCAAGGCTCACTAGCGACCCCTCTCCTCTACTAGGTGTTTACAAGTTGGGCAAGGTACGAGATACATTTACATTGGTTGGTTAATCATGCTGCGCAAGCCTACCCAGGCGGACCTAGGCGACCAATGAAATACGGTACAGGACGTGGTACTGGTCTCGACGGAGCATACGTAAGGCGGTACATGAAAGTCACCGCCTTCTCATTGCCTGTTGACGGATGAAGTTATCAAGTACGTAGGACGGAGGAATACGGATATTAGTCTTCCATTTCAGTGAAGCGAGAGAACGACCTAGAGACAAGGGTTGAATGCACTAGTCTCAATGCTTGACTCGCTATCCGTTCTTGCGCGATCTTGCCTACCTTCAGCACCTGAGGTAAGGCACTTTGTGATGGCTTACTCCAATGCATTTTGCGAATGCTGAAAAACGTACGGTGTGGCACTACTTACTTTATTGGGCTATGGCCTCAGCATTGGGTTAAGATGCGTGTACATACCGACAAGGTGCCCCTTGGAAGAAAGGCAAATGTCCGTACGTACGAACACTCTACTATCCCACGGGTAATGATCGCAAGGACCTGTCGGTAGCTTTACCGAGGAATGCCCACTTCGATGATGGGCTGCGGGACTGCGGCAGCTAAGCACTATATCTCGGGCACCCGCGGATGCCATCACTCAGTCACCGACCACCCTATGGTCTCTAGCATACAATGGAGAACATATATTCTGTCAAGAGGTCTCCGCCAGGCAGGCAGAACTATACAATTCGCATGATGCAGTCCGAATTTTCTCTCACGCAATCGTCCCGTCCTCTTCCTTGTCTCCTTAGCTTTCGCCGGTGCTTCAAGCGTGGGCACGCCAGCTAGGTACCCTAGCTGACCAGAAAACTTCATCGGCCGATTTTTCTCAGATCCTGTCGATCCAAGTACCTTGTTATTAGAGAAAAGATTATATATAAGTCATGAATATAAAAGTATAATTCAAGTTAAATATTATAACTCTTACTGAGTACTTAAATTAATAATTTTGAAGTTTATTTTTAAAAAATCAATTATTATAGTAATTATTTTTTATTAAAGCTTATAATAATTATAATTCCAACTATATAGTTTTAGTAATAACAGCCGAAAACTTTAGCCATAACTCTCTAAAAGAATCTCCTTAAAAAAAAAAGTTTTAAATATATTTAATAATAAACATTTATTAGAATATTAAATATACTATTATTAATAATTTAATCTCAGTGATTAAAAAACCACTAATAATCAATAGTGTAATTATTATTATTATTATTATTATTAGTTATAGTCTGTAAAGCGTGATAATGTGGCTATTCAGTATCGCTAACATGGCCTATGCTAAGCAGAATATCCTCGCCGCTAACGAGACGGATACCGTGTCGACATGGCGCCTTGGCTTCCTCAAGATCCCATCGATCAGCTACAATCCATCTAGTTGGATCCAGTCGAAGCCGAGAATACCCCACCCTGTCCGAGCTGTTCGCTCTCCCGTCAATTTCGGCCACCTCCACTGGCAGTGCGATTCGAATCATTCAAGTGGCCGGTCGTAAAGCCAGAGAGGTTCGTTACACCACACAGCCCCAGCGCCGTCTCGGAAGTCTCTCCGCTCAACCAAGTACATTGTGCGTCGTAGCCTGCAGTCCGGCCGTGCGCGACTCCGGGCGTTGAACTTTCAGAATCTTCGCTGCTTGTGCCCGAATTGGAACGTTCGGTGGTGACTGCTGTTCCATCGGGTCTATTTGGATAGTTGTTGAAGTGATGTAATATATACCCGAGGTACGTGGGCATCGTTGTACCGTAAGGTAGTGCAAGGTAGCCACAAGCCCGGGATTACTGACCGGGGATACGGCGAGAACTTGAGAGCCCGCCCCCGGCAGACCCACCAGACGGAGATTAGAAAGCGCCGGCCAAACCGGCCAGTCATACTGCCCAAGCAAGTGCCTTGTCTTGAGTGAGCGGAAATAGGCACCTGGATTAAGAGTACTATAAGTAGGTACGTAGTAGAACCGTAGACTCTAGATACTTGCCAAAATTTGCAGCCTTATACGCACCTCTAGGTTCGTTCTTGATAATTCCCCCCCAATCTTCCCTCTTTTCTTTAAGATTTTCTAGTCCTGGCGACGGCCTACTTCACTTAACTGACGAGTGTTTAGTATTTCACAGTAGTTTAGTATTTCTGAGTTCGACCGCTGCTACGGCCATGCGCACTCCTAAGGCCTTTCACATGGACCCTAGTATAATTCCAATGACCCATCGCCAAGTTTGACCACGTAGCCAGACTCCACTGATATGGGTGTCATACTCGCTACACAACTCCAAGCAGAATCTATCTTATGTGTCTTGTGGGTTATGAGTGAATACTTCCTTCAGGCCACGGATGAAGGATGCGCAGCCCCTCAAGCAGGCGATGGGAGGCCTGTAATTTTTCCTTTGTTTTATACAAGGCTTTCATATGTCAAGAGGGAGTGAAGATAGCTTATTTCATCCAAGTCTCACCACGTATTATTTTATTACCCTTGAAATGCGAAGTAGTGTTTTACGAGATAGACACTTTGCGATCGAGCTCAAGTCATTCGGACAGGAACGCGGTAGGTTTAGGTAGCAGAGCGCGCACAGGCCCCCTCAGATGCTCTATCTTATCAGTGACCGCATCTTTCGCGTGGCGGCTGGCTACCTTACCATTAAGTATGATCTGTGACCATTAATAATGTCGCACTTCCTTCACCTCGTCCTTGTGCTCGTTGGGGACCTGACTGTCACCGAGAATATTGATTGCAATCGAAGATGCACCTACCGCCAATGCCAGCTTTGAACAGAGTACGTCTTGAACAAGGCACCTAAGGTAGGCTGCCGCGAGCGCTTTGCTCGATCCTGAAAATGCAAGGAAAGCGGCGCCATGCGCCCGACAGCAGTGACGAGCGCCCCGGGCCTGCAAAGCGCGCGCGCTTCACCGCAACCCACCCCGACGATTCGAAATCGAGGCCCCAAGGCAGGGCTGTCTTCGCCGCCGACGACTTTTTGTCCTCTCTGTCGGACGAGCTCCTAATCCGCATTCTATCATTCCTGTCGACTTCTAATCTCTTGGGCATATCACCCGTTTCGCGCCGTTTCTACCGCCTCTCTGCCGACTCCCAACTGTGGCGCACGCTTTACTACCACCGCTTCGTCCTGCCGCGCGCTCTGAAGATACCCGGGTTTCGCGATGGTTCTGCCCGAGACAGCAGTCGAATTCAGTTCTCTACACGGCGCACCGTCTGGGCCGACGGTGGCTGGGGTCGGAGAGAT